CACTTTACAAGATTATATGTGCCCCATAAGAGGTTTAAAACTTTTTAGGGTTGTGACTGTTGCTTTTCAGAACTCAAAAAAAGTTTCCAAGATTTGTAATTACAGCATCACCAGAGCTGACATTATCCCTTAATGAAGTAAAATGACACTGAGACATTACTCCATTATAGGAATAAATATGGGACCATAATTTCATGCCTTACTAAAATTAAAGTTATCCTACAGATTCTAAGATTAATTTCTTCTGCCTTCAAAGAAGGAATTTTTTTTGATTCATGAGCTGAAGATTTTGAAGAGGCTGGTGCTGGCTAGCTGGTCTGTCTCTCTATGAAATTGCATTTAGCAAAGTGTCTTAGGAAATGAATCAATTAATGCTGAATGATACCAGAAGCAAGAGATCATCCTGTGCCCAGATTTGGTGCATTGTAAAAAATTTCACACCCTTTTTAGCCTCAGGGAGATACAGCCAGAAAAGGCCCAAAGAGTGAAATTTCCTAGATTTGTGTCAGTAACATGCATCAAACAAACATCACAGGAGGAAGGCAGGATGATGAAGGACCCATCCCCAAACTCTCCTAACAAATGAACTTGGAGCCTCCCGTGGGAAAAAGGCTAGAAAATTAGCTGTGTGTGCTTCACAGGTATTTCTGTCTGCTTTTTTCTAATGAATCAAAGTGTTTTGAACTCTGCCTCAATAGACCTGTATAAATCTGTTAATGTGCTTGGAAACTTGAACACAAATGTTGTTTGGAAGGTGTCTCACACTGGAATAGTTCCTTTATATGCCAAGGGTATTATCTGATACACCCAGGACTGGGTAGGAAGGGCTATTTCCTGCACATGTGGTAAGAAAATCCAGCTATTCCAGGCCCCAGGAAAATTACATGCTCCCACGTAAAGAATCCAGCTTCCTTTCCTTAGATCTGTTTTCTTTTCCTCACTCTATAAAGCAAAATTCCTTTAAAAGAACCACCCTAATGGCTTTCTATGTTGATACAAACCAAGCATTAATGAAGGAAGAGAACATGAAAATTTGTATTTAACTACTGATTCTCACCAGAGATGAGTACGATGAGCACCTTCAAAACAAGAGCAGGAAAATACCCGTAGTGGCCTTTCACATGATGCAGCAGAATGCCAAAGTTTCAGCCTCATAGGAGGGTTTTATCCTCATAACCCCCACAAGGGAAGGAAAGAATAGAGTGTTATTACCTGCACCCTACAGATCACAAACTGATACATGATGAATTCTCCAAGTCATAAAGAAAAGAAATGATTGAGGAGGGAGCTCAGCGTGGTCTCCAGGCCACAGCCAGACCATCCCTCTTGTATGAAAAAAATCAGTTAACTTTGAAGACACCCACAGTTCATCAGAAATGATCAGACAAGTTGTTTGAATACCACAAAAAGGATATTCAAACTGGATGTTGTGCTGGATATGTAGATAAGAATCCATTTACAAGAATTTGAATAGACAGGCTTGCACATTTCAGGAAAGGGGGTGCTGCACATCACCAGCCACAGAGTGGGATCAATATCCTACAGCAGAGTTAGCAGGCACAGCTTTATACCAGCTAATAAGGCTGGATTGTTTTTGTAAGGACCATTCTTACTCCTTTTTCCTCTCCTTTCAATGCAGAACAGGCTAGGATTGAACAAAACAATTACAAAGCAGCCACAATGTTAAAAAAAGGGTCAGGAACTTGGTCCTGGCAAGGTGAGGCTGCTCTCTCCCTTTGTGCTTGTGTGTCCCTCACCTCCAAGGAGGGAGGGTGGGCTGGGATATCTCAGAGCCCCATGTAATGCCAGACTGGTGGCTCCTGATTAATGCTTTTTAGTCTAATCTTTTAACTGATGTGGGTTCATCTTAGCCCAGAGTGATTATCTCAGAGTATCTCAGTTATGTTTTCCTTTGGAGAGAGGTAGGTGTGACTGTGAATAAAGAATTTCTTAATTCTGGTTAAGTAACATCTAATGAAACATAATTTTTAAAGATGGTTGTGATAACAGTTCAGTGTGAATGATACAGTCATCTTTCAGCCACTTTCAAAGATCAAAGTTAAGGACAATGAGTAAATACACTAATTATAGTTAATAAACAGCAAGGTTCCTGCTGGTCTTCATGCAGCCCCTGATGATGCAGAAAAGCTTTGGAAGAACTTGGCAGGAAAGGGTTATCTTTCTATGGACTTATTAACTCTTTCTGAGGCATGGAGGGACAATGACAGTTGTGAAGGTGAAGACATGTGGGAGACCAGTGCTCCCACATGTGCAAGCATCTTTCCTAACCAAAAAGGAATAGCTATCCTCAAAAAAGAGGTTTTGGAATATTTCCCAGTAGGGCCTAAAGTCTTTCAGACTTTATATTTCTGGGTTCTCTGACCCTCAGTGGTATAGCAGGAGTCCTAGTTGTATTGTATTGTACAGTCGAGAGCTGGGAAAATATATGTATTGTATAATTGTAAGTAGAACATGTAAAACCTGTCGCTGTAAGAAAAAGAAAAGGGGGAAATATAGTAGGAGTGCTAGTAAAATATCTGTGTTGTACTTGAATATCTGTATTGTACTTGAATACCTGTATAAAGGCCTTGCCCTGGTAAGTCCCAGTTGTTCTTGATGGGCAGCAGCTGTGGCTAATGAAGATAACTGGGATAAAAGGGGGTGGGTTTGGCCAGTCAGGGAGAGCCTGGAATGAACTTTGACTAAGAAGCAGCAATGAGCAGAAGAAGAAGTCTGTGCTGTGAAGAACTGTCCCCAAGAAATATCACTGAGAATGTACAGGACTTTAGAAATATGATTGCGACAGTATGGGACGCTAGAAATATGAATACAACAACTGGTGAAGAGCTGTGGTACTTTGAGTCAAGGAGCTGTGACAGCCATAAGAAAACACCGAGAGAAGGTATGGGACTCTAGAAATCTTCTAGTATTGTAATTGTATATTTGTTAAAAGAAAAGGGGGAAGTATAGGTGGCCATTGAATCTTAGTATGTATTGTATAGGTGGCCTTTGAGCCATAGTAAAATCTATGTATTATATGTGGCCTATGAGTCTCAGTAAAATCTATGTATTGTAGAAGTGGCCCTGCCTCGATCCTAGTTGTTCTAGATGGGCTGCAGCTGTGATGTCCTTAATTGGGCAGCAGCTGTGGCTAATGAAGATAACTGGGATAAAAGGGGGTGGGTTGGCTGGTCAGGGAGAGCCTTGGAGGAGCCCTGATGAAGAAGCAAAAGCAACACTGCTGTGAAAAGCTACTGGTGAGAAAACCACCCAGAAGGTATGGGACTCTAGAAATATGGTAACAACACAGTGGAAACTATAAAGACTTTGTAAAAATCATAGAAATATTATTTCTTTTATACACACATGCCCCTTTGCTAACTACAGAGCAGTTTTTTTTTCCTGGAAGTTTGCCAAGAGGATTTTCTCATTCCTTGTTCTTGCATTCCCCAAGGCTGCTAAAGATGATAGACTTTTAGATAACAGGGAAATAGTATGCACCATTATTTCTGTATTCTTGCTTTTATCACTTGGAGGAGAAAGTACAGTTAATCTCCTGAAGTTAAATCAGCAGACAAACATATTGCAATTCAAAGTTAATCATTGAGTAAAACTTGGGTTCAGCCAAGCACAATGCAAAAAAACTAGAAGACAAATTTCAACCCAAATGAGAGATCTTCTACAACTACATTCTCGCCTTAACATCGACAAGTTATTTTAGAGAGCTGGCTAAACCGCTTGGGCCACTAGAGAGTTTGTTACATTCAGCTGTACACGGATGAAAAGGACCACATTCACACTTGTTACCCAAAAAGCCGCTTCAAATTTGGCTCAGGTGGGAAAAAGGTCAGAGCTCCAGTCACGACAGGCCAAGGGTCCCGCTGCCTTGCTCTGCCACAGCCTCCTGCAGCGCCTCTGAGGCGCAGTGACTGCGTGGCATGTGTCAAAGTATTTATGGCTGGTTGAGGTTACCTATAAAGCGGGCCTGCTGGGGCTTTTGCCAAGCCTTTAGGTTGGCAGGTATGGGCTTTAGCTCATTTCCCTTTCTGCACTTCAAGTAATTCCTGATTGTTTTCCTTTGTTCCTCTTTTATACAACTTCACATCTGCCGTCAGCAAGATGTTACTGTCGATGGGAATTGGGAGTTACAGGGCCAGCGCTGCTAGCTGATCTTGAACTTTCTCCCCAGTGCTTTTCTGTTTGCCTGCAGACTGAAACCTTCTTGAACCTGCCGAATACGTGACAACCTTTACCCTTCTCCAAACCAGAACTTTAGCAGCCGAGAGGACGCGCCCCGGGCTCCCACGCTGTCCCT